TCATGATCCTCCTGCCCCTGATTTTGCTTTGTTTTTTTGTTTGTTTTTGAGACAGGGTTTCTCTGTGTGGCCCCGGCTGTCCTGGAACTCCATAGACCAGGCTGGCCTGGATCCCAGAGATCCACCTGCCTCTGCCTCCCACCCCCTCACCCCTCCCACCCCCAGGTGCTGAGATCAAAGGCAGGCACCACTACCTCCCAGCTCGGATTTCTGAGGGCTGTGGGGAGGCCAGCACTCACTCTTCAGCTTTCTTCTTTGCCTGTTTCTCTTCCTATTGGTGGGCTTCTTCCACGTGACAGGGAGCAAGGCCTCCTGGCACTCCCAGAGTCTGGGGATGCGCCATGTTCGCTGATGAATTGAGCCTTGTTCTCTTTCTTTTGATCTTACATTCAAACATCTCAGGGAAGAAAGCCAGCAAAACGGTTCAGTGGCTAAGGGCTCTTGTTGCCAAGCCTGACACCTGAATTCATTTCGACTCCCACACGATGGCAGGAGAAAGCAGAGTCTTCTACGTTGTCCTCTGACCTCCACACATGCACTGGGGCACATATGTGCCCATGCACATACACACGAATAAAGGTAATTTTAAAAGTCTCGGGGAAGAATGTGATTGGCTAAGCGTGGCTCATGAGGGACACTAATGAAATGACAATTCTCGTGTTAATATTGAGAAGAAAGAACATCTTGAAGCAGCCTTGATGCTGGAGAGATGACCTGGTGGTGAAGAGTACTTACTGTGCAACCCTGACCCCCCAGTTCCCACCCTAGCGCCCATGTAACAAGTCAGATGTAGTCTAGGATTGCCCTGTAACCCCAGTGCTGGGGTGAGGGAGGCAGGCTCCATAAAGCTTGCCAGCTGCCAGCCTAGCCAAAAGATGTGAGTGCTAGGTCTAGGGAGGGCCCTGCCTTGGAGGAGTTAGGCGGAGAATGAGGAAGGTACCAGACGCCCTCCTTACACCTCTGTGTGTATGTACCCCTGCATACCTGAGCACATATAATTCTCTCTCTTACACGCACACAGAGACACAAAGAACTAAATGCTGGATTCTAGATAGATTTTTCTTTCTAAGAAGAACCCTGCATCTGGGTGTAGGGAGGATGGTTACCACAGATATCCAAATAGCAGTGATACAGCCTGCATTCAAGAGATGCAGGGGAATGGTGAGGGGGGTCTGGGAGAACCCAAGACTGAGCTCTCAAGAGGCAAAGTAACATTCTGTGAAGCTCCTAAGGTGAGGTCATTAGCTCCACTCTCTTCAGCTGAGGGATGAGAACAGCCCGACTATGAAGAGCGAGGGCGATGCTCCACCCCTTGCCCCGGAGAGGCCACTCCACTTTCCAACATCTCGTGGTTATTTTTATGGGTAGATTTATTTTTACCCATTCTAGACCTCAGACCTGCAGCTGGAAGAAATAAGACACCAAGGCTTCTAGGTTTCTAGAAAACACAGGCTGCAGAGGCTGGGTCAGCCACAGAACTCATGCCACAGTGGCTGGGTCAGCCACAGAACTCAGGCCACAGTACCTGGGTCAGCCACAGAACTCAGGC